TGGGGGAGGGGACTGTATGGGGGGAGGGGAAGGAGGCTGGTTGGGGGAGGAGGGTTGGAGCAGGGGGACTGTATGGGGGGGAGAGGAAGGAGGCTGCTTGGGGACACAGGGATCTCCTGCCTGTATTTGGACCCATCTCCTCCATCCCCAATACGGGGTTATTGAGTGCACTTGGTGGACCGAATCCTGCTTTTCTCCCTGCACCCGAGCTGCTCCTGGGGCCTGGCGCGCTGCTGGGCCCACCCCAGGGGCCGCGTGGATAGTCCCATCGGCGCAGATGGCCATCAGAACGATGGACCAGACCCGGCTGTGCGGAGCCCTTGGCGTGTGACCGTTCGATATCTCTTGTAAGTTTGTTATTAATTGCCAGGTAAATCTACAACTCTTCAGGTGCACGGAGCGCTGGAGACTGCAGAGATGTGGGTTTCCTTTCTGGGACGGGCTCCCTCGCAGAGACCACCTAAAAAGCTGCTTCTGCAGCGTTCGGCGCTTTTCCGTGGACCTGACAAAAGCAGATTTTAGCCACCATCTAAGCCATTCGGACACCCGAGGAGATGGCTCTCAGACTGATCCCCAGCAGAGCGACGGAGAGCCCTGCGCTGCAGGGGGCTCAGAGCCTTTGAAAGACACAAAGCCCCCCTTTTCCAAGCACCCAACGCTGCTTCCCCCCACTAACTGCTGTATGAGTGGCTGCCACAACTGCGTTTGGATTGCATATGTAGAGGAGCTGCAGAAACACTACCAGGATGGGGGAGAAGAGGCCTTAGCAGCTGTGGAAAAGCACATAGAAGATGAGAACATTAAAATGATTTTAAAGATGGAAATCAGATTCCGCATGAAGAAAGACTGATGCTCACAGCTTACACTACATGGCTCCTCTTCTCCCATGGCACTACAAACTCCAGAGAGCGAGCGAGCCCAGATTTATTTATTGTCCCTTCTCCAAAAAGGCTCCTCATTTAACAGAGTTTGTCCATCTCCTTTTAAGCTTGGTTCTTGGGCTCGAGAACCCAGTTTGACTACCAGTTGGTAAAGGATTGCCATTATTTATTGGTAAGAGTTACAGTACTTGGCGGAAATTCGGTGAGAATAAATTCATACCCGTGTGCTTAAAAATGTGAACCTCTTCTAGGCCTGTCTCTCTGTTCTGGGCTTGTGCAACGCCTACCGTGATGGGGCCCTGGCCCGTGACGTGGGCTCCTAGCTGCTGCTACTTCACGTTTTGTCTCCCGCTTACTCCAGTGGAGTCGCTCCTGACGCACACTGGTTTAAGAGTGTTTGTTTAACATCTAGACTGGCTGCCCCCACTTCCGGCTGACCCCAGAGCCCCGCCCCCTCCCCAAAGGGGACTAAGAATTCAGCACCCAAATCCCACCTTCTCTGGGCGTTTAAGTCCCTTAGCCCTCTTTAAAACCCCTGCTGTCGACTAGATAAATAGTCCTCTCTCTCCCCTGATGCACGGCCAGCTGGG